GGTGGGGGAGAATGAGAGAGAATGCGGTGTTCTAGGGGTTATATAAGAAGGGAGATGGCGATTCGGGGATGGAGGATTGGAGTGAGTTGTCCTGGGGTTGGGAGGCGCATCAGGTAAGGATGAAGGCGTTGATTAGTGACGCCATTGGGCAGGATGATTTGGAAAGAGAGGATTGCTCGTCGATTGAATGTGGTTGATTCGAATTCGGAATGGGCATTCAGAAATCTGGTGGACTTCTGTGAAGAGCATTCAGAAATCTGGATTCGGTTGATTGCTCCCGACCCCACTACCGCCTTCCCCGAACACAATGCCACGCTCATTTTGCCTATACCCGACCGTAAATATGGCTTGTGTACATTCGTTATCAGGGTGCGTTACGCTCGGGGGAAGTCGGTAGTCGAATGATTTATTAAACCCTCGGCATCATTGTCGATGTATTTCCTTAACTGGTAGAGATCCCTCCAGAGGATGGGCTTTCCCAATTGGTCAGCAAATTTTACCAAAATTGCTTGATTGATTGCTTGGTTGATTGCTTGCTTGCTTGCTTGCTTGATTGATTGATTGAGAAAGTTTGCATTCCCAGTCCACCGTAGCTTTTTTCTTTTTTTTTTCCCTTTTTCGTTTGCAAAACTGCTTCACAGTCTCACACTCGCCTCACGATGGGCCTCGAATAACGGGTTGGCACGATTGCTTGATTGATTGATTGATTGATTGCTTGCTTGCTTGATTGATTGAGAAAGTTTGCATTCCCAGTCCACCGTAGCTTTTTTTTTTTTTTTCCCTTTTTCGTTTGTAAAACTGCTTCACAGTCTCACACTCGCCTCACGATGGGCCTCGAATAACAGGTTGGCACTCGAGTAAAGAGTGCAAAGGTTGGGCTTTCTTACTCATTACATGGACGTAATTGCGATCCGATACATGCACGTCCGGCCGGTCAGATACAATTAAGGTAGTGCTACCGCCCTAAGAGAGCGGAGGAGCAAATCTAAGAAAGAGAAGGGTAGGTGGAGGAGGAAAGAGAAAGGTAGGTGGAGGAGGAAAGAGAAAGGTAGGTGGAGGAGGAAAGAGAAAGGTAGGTGGAGGAGGAAAGAGCAAAGGGGAGCAAAGGAAAAATGAGAAAGGTTCGATGAAAATGCGTGGGGGGGGGGACTTCGATGAAAAAGCGAAGATGTGGGGGACCCGGTGCTCATATCACCCTCAACAGCAGTCTACGAGGCCTTTTTTTTTTTTTTTTTTTTTTGAATGTCGGGTTTGTCTTCTCTCTTCCTATGGGGGACAGACGCATTGCTTCATTCTTTTTACTATCCTGTTATCTTCTCTCAGTATTTTATACCTCGCACTACCTACCTAGGGGCTAAGCGAAGACCTCCTTCCCGTTTTTTTTTTTTTTTTTTTTTGGGCTTCCCGTAAATCTATGGGTTAACACCTGCCTCCTTCTCGTAGCGTAATTAAATACCGCAATTTATTTTTTTAATTCACTAAGCGAGCTACGCGAGCCAAGCTATCTTAAGGTTATGGGTCTACACCTACCTAACTCTGCTCTGTGCGGGCAGCAGCACCCAAGCTCCTAACACACCTGGGGCGTGGTCCCACTGGCAAAGAGGATCGGATCGAATGCCTGAATCTGGACGAGGTTATGGAGATGTGCAGGAAATCGAGATTGATCTGCTTTTCTGCATCTCTGCATTAAACGCATCCAGATTCAGGAGCTCGAGCCTATCCTTTTTGCTAATGGGACCTCGGCCCTGGTCCGGGCTGGAAAGTAAGAGAGTGGGGGATAATCATTCTGAAGAAAAGAGAAAAGGGGGATCTTCGTCGAGAAGATAAGATGCTACTAGGTAGGACTCCAGGAGGCTGTACCAAGGGGCTAGGAGGGAGAAGAAGTGAAAAGGGGGATCTTCTTCGAGTTCAAGTCCTGTTGACATTGAGGGGCTACCCGGAAAAGCAGGGTGAAGAAAAGGAGGGTAAATGTGGGGAAGGGAGGGAGGGAGTTAGCCGGAGAGAATTTGTGATATTGAAGAAAGTGAAGGACCTGCGTTGTGGAAGAAAGTGTATGCAGATGGGGCTGCTGTAGTTGGTTGGGTGTTTGAAGGGAGGGATGCATCTGCGCCGTGGCTGAATTTCACCCAAATACAACGCTTGAGAAAAATAAGAGGGGAAGGGAGGGAGGGAGATAGCCGGAGAGAATTTGTGACATTGAAGAAAGTGAAGGACCTGCGTTGTGGAAGAAGGGTCTACAGATGGATCTGTTGAGGGGCTACTGTAGCTGGTTGGGTGTTTGAAGCGAGGGATGCATCTGCGCCGTGGCTGAATTTCACCCAAATATAACGCTTGAGGAAAATATGAAAAGTGAAGTCCTGTTCGACGGAATTATGCTGCCGTCTTCCTCCGAACACAACGCACCCTCCTCCTGACTGTATCTGGCCGGAAACATATTTTGTATACTTTCCTTTTCAGGGTGCGTTATGTTCGGGGGAAGACTGTAGAGGCTAGCTAGGTGCTGAAGAGACGGACGCACCTTCATTGTGGCAGAAAGCATACAAAGTTCAAGTCCTGTTGGTTGGGGTTTCAAATCCTGCTACATACAATCCTGTTAGGCGCTGTTAGACCCATTGAGGAAAAAAAGAGGTGGTGGTGAAAGGAGAAGCAGGAGAGGTAAAAAAAATAAAAATAAAATAAAATCTGAAGCGTAATCTGGCAGCATATCAAAAGGAAAAAAAATCTGTTTTTTCCTAGGCTATCAGAGTGGCCCGGGGCGAGTTGCCCGGCCGGGCAAGAGAAAATATGATTTTTTTTTTAATTTATTTTTTATTTCAAATTTGGTAAAGAATTTGGATGTCACCCTGAGGCAAAAGTTCATTTTATTTTTGTGTGTCACATAGGATTTTTTTTTTTTTTTTTTTTTTTTTGGCTGGGCCCTTCGCTTGTCCTCGCACGGCCGGGCTGCCTCGTCAAACAAGGTAACCCAGTCGGCCCGGCTGGTAGCCCAGTTTTTTCGAAAATCACTATAATGACAATAATAATAATAAAGTATCAAAATAAAATATATAATTATTATAATAATTTAGGCTACCAGCCGGGCCGCCCGGGTCACGCTATTTTCCCGGGCGGCCTAACTTAGGCTACCAGCCGGGCCGCCTGGGTCGCCCTATTTTCCCGGGCGGCCCGGCCATGCACGGACCAGGGAAGGACCTAGCAAAAAAAATAAATCGAAAAACTCCGAAAAAACTATGTCATGCAGATAAATAAACTGATTGCAGATAAATAAACTGATTGCTTCAGTGGCTCGGACCCACTAACCAAGTTTATTACGACGTGTGACACGATTTTCAGGTATTCTTGCATTAAAAAAAATTCATTTCTTCCATTAGAAAAACGAAAGAAATGGACTTTTTATTGTTTTGTGAGCGATTGAGCGTGAGTGAGTCTGGCACTGTAGCCTGAATTCATGGGGTGCTACTGGCAGGCCGTTATTGACGGTTGTCAGAGGGACACAACTTTTTCTTTTTCAGCACATTATGGGCCTCGCTGCACTATTCTCGACATGCACAAAAGACAAAAATATTGCCGGTGTATCTTGCCATATTCTAGCGGAAGATTCACTCTCGTTTTGCACATCTCGAGAGTAGTGCAGCGAGGCCCTATACCTCGCCAACGAAGTCTTGAAAACAGCTCCCCCCCAATGTCTTTGTTAAACCCAAAGACTGCAACTGGTTAAGTATACATTATTCCGCGAGTGATGAGTTAACCCTCGGCCGGCGTTAAAAAAAAAAAACAAAAAAAAAAACAGCTTTCCCCCCCTTTTGGAGTCTGGGAAACGAGACTCTCTCAAGACGTGCCTTTCGATTAAAAAAATCCCAAAGTGGACGTAACGTTTTCACAGGCAGGGATTGGTGGAAATCTATGGGATTGCCACTATTCCTAACAAACAACGCGTGTCCGTAGATACGGGATGCCATCCACGGACATCAAATGTCACTACATGCCACACGTGATCGAAATCCTCGCGAATTGGGGCGTGGTCCCACTAGCAAAGAGGATCAGATCGAATGCCTGAATCTGGACGAGTTTATGGAGATGTGCAGGAAATCGAGATTGAACAGCTTTTCTGCATCTGTGCTTAAAGCACATCCAGATTCAGGAGCTGGGTCCTACCCTTTTTGCTAGTGGGACCTCGGCCCCTGGTGAAAGACTTCGCTAGTGGGTCCGAGCCCCAGGGTCACATCGAAATTCTTTACCAAAAAAAATAAAATAAAATTAATTTTTATTTTTTATTGGCCCGGTCGGGTAAGTGGTCCCGGGCCAGTCTGGTAGTCTAGAGAATAACAATAATAGATGATGATACAGTAATACTAATAATAATTTGTCTATCTGACATTTGCCTTGTTGATCGGTGGTGCCTTGTTTTGTGGCAGGTCACGTGAGGTGCCCACCATGGGGTGGTGGAGGGTATTGCAGGTACTCTTCTGTTTAATTGCCCATTTTCAGAGGACGGCTGCAGCAACAGCACGTCGCGATGGTAGGTGAACCGAACATTCCTCTCGATGGGTGTTGGAGTTCTTTTCTCCCTGATGTGCTTTGGTCTCGCACTCTCTTCCCCTTTCTGTGATGCCCGGTCTATTGCACACTATACGCAGGCGTTCAGATCAGTACGCCCTGCCCTGAGCGAAACCGGCAAGTGACGTGGGTAAATTACATTTGCGCCCATGCGCGCACACACACACACACACACACACACACACACACACACACACACACACACACACACACAC